ATTTTTGCTTTAAAAATGTAGTTTTATTACCAGAATTTATTTTTTTTTTTTTTTTTTTTTTTTTTTAATTGGATTGATGGTAACTAATTACAAACAACTGAAAATGATAAAGGCTAAATAAATACAAAAATACAACAAATGTAACCCAATAATTTTAAATAAAACTGAATTTCAATATAGCAATAATAAATTCTGGTAATAAAACTACATTTTTAAAGCAAAAATATGTATTTGATGCCAAAAAACAACTTGTTTCATAAAGCTAAAACATAGACATGCTAACATGAGATCTCAAAAATACTAAAATTATTAAACTATAAAACACTCTAAGGGTCCAGTCGATATTTGAATATAAATACAACTAAATAATCAATTCTACAACAATAACAAGACAAAAGAGGGAACAGGGCTATACTAAAAGAAACACGTTACATAATCATGAAAAAATAAATAAATCAACGAAAAATATTTCATTATGGAGTTGGAATGAAATGAAAATTAAAAAAAAAAACAATGATAAATAATAAAAATTGCTTAAAAATAGATAAGGAGAGAAAAAAATAATTTGAATATGAGCTGAAAAGAAAAACCTGAATAATAAAAGAACAAGTCCGAAAAACATACTGGTCCTGAACGGTTTGTTGGATTTGACCTGCGATAAAACAAGTTGGAAGACAAACAAAAAACATTGAACAAACAAATATTAGAACCCCGATCATATAAACAACAAGAACAACAATCTGGACATGTTCCTCTCTGTAGGTTGTGCAAATAATGGGAATTATGCAATAATGGGAATTAAAAAAGTAATGTCAAAGTCTGTTCAGATTTTAAAAAAACAAACAATCAAAACAAAGGAAAAAGGGCCTTTTAAAACATTTTTGAATAAATATTAAAAATCAGAACAGTTTGGTGCTGTAAACATTTATTTTCAGTCTATACAGCCATAATAAAACTTCAAGCATCATCAGGTCTTAAAACGAGGTAAATAAAAATGTAGATGCACAACAACTTAATAAAAAGTCTTAAATAGGCTTTATTTAGATTGACTCACTGGTAAAAAGCTGACGATGCTCGAGATATTTTAAAATCATCACATCAGGGTTGCAATTATGCTAACAAGACGTGCAAAAATGAACATTGTAAAAACAAACAGGCCCAGCTGCAAACTTGAGCGGATACAGCAGCAAGCTGCAGAAACCAACAGACAGAAATGGCCTTAAACTTTTATTGAACTCCATTTAGATCATTTCTGAATGTTTCTGGTCAAAAAGTCACGTGTGCAGACAGTTTAAACAGCGTTTGTGAGGAACACCGCCAACGGTTAGACACAATTCACACCAAGCACCCTGCTTTTCTTCCTGCGCTGAGTATTTTCCGTCAGCTGATGAGCGTGTGAAGCAGTACGTTCTGCAGCAGGGCGGCGTGACATTCAGCATCCTCATTCAAAGCTGATCAACAACCTTCAAGGACTGAACTGAGATTGGAAACTCGTTTGGAGGTGGATCAGACGGAAAATGTCGACTCGTGGCCTGATCATCAGATCAGTCGCTGCTCTTCCTCTCCTCCAGTAATCAGTGAGCTGTGCTGGGTGAAGGCGGGCGCACGTAGCTCGAGGATGACATCACCATGGCGATGCTGCTCTCTGACAGCCTGAGGGAATCGCTGCTCTGGGATAGGCTGATGATCGCCACCGCCCCTCGCTCCTCCACACATGCGCAATCCAGTCACATGGACCATTAGTGATTGAGACACATGGGTTAATTTGTGGTACCACACAGAGGCTCGGCAGCTCGGCGCACAAAGCCTACATGCACACGCATCCTCTGCACGGTCGAAGAGGATGGAGGAAAAAAAGGGTGGAGGTGTGTGTGTGTGTGTGTGTGTGAGCAATGGTTAAAAAAGCAAGGAGATAAGATGAGACAGGAAGGAGGAGGGAGAAGGAAACACGATTAAATAAAGAACAGCAGCAGTTTGTTCCGATTAAAATTTAAAATGATGCTGTTGTAGCTATTTGAACTCGTTTTTAAGAACGACTTGTCTAATC